ATATATACTGAAATACATGTGTTATAAATTTTTTTTAGATAGTTAATACCATGATGCATTATGGCATTTTCAGACATCCTTATTGTTATTTTAGCTTCCTCTTTCCATCTGCATTTCTCCACTCCCTCCTCTAAAGATACCTCCATTTCAAATTTCCCTGCTAACCCCCTCTTTACTGCCCCACAAATATTCTATTCTAGTAACGGTACTCTTTTCCATACCTGGTTTCTGCATTTAGTTACTCCAGTATATGTCCTCACATCTGAAAAATTGGATCTAGGAGCCTCCAATGAGAGAAAAATTGAGGCACTGTGATGTCTAATTCTATACTTTTACCTGCATATTTCAGGATTTCAGTTTTCATTAAAGCTGAATAGTTTTCCATAGTCTAGATCTACACATTTTCAGAATTTATTCATCCATTTTCCCTGGATACATCTACAAAATACTTCTAAACCTAAGGTTCAGGGAACATTGCAGAAGATAGGGCTGAAAGACTGTAAGAACCAGAAAATAAGTGTGCGAGTGTTGTAGGGAAATAAGAAGCTATACCTATAAAGTCTCACCAAAAAATCTGCCTAAACATAATCTGAACACACAGTAATAGATGTGCTAAATGCTAAAGTGGACAGAAACTCCCTGGAGATTTAACCACAGACAAAGAGCAATAGAAACAAAGTAATACTAATTGTGTGTGTGTGTGTGTGTGTGTGTGTGTGTGTGTGTGTGTGTGTGTGTGTTGTGGGGTATCTTTTCTGGTAAGAGCGGACCAGTTGATTATCCAATACCAAATGGTCACTCAAGCATGCAAACAATTTGCATAATAACATACATATAACATAAGATTGAACAGTTTCTGTTTTCAAATATATAAGTATGCATATAAATATATAAGCACTTTAAATTTTTAAAAGGCATGAATTGGAAAGAAAGAAAAGAAGGGTATACTGGAGTGTTTGAAGGAATAAATGGAAAGGGAGAAACATAATTATAATATATCCACAAAAGTAGAGAGTGGGGGGGAAGAGAGAGGCATCCTTGACAATGTTTATTCAGTACACCTAGCTATGGGCATAATGAGAAGATTTAAATACACAAAGTAATTATTCTAGTCTAGAAATGTGGCTCTAGTAGATTTTTCCTCAATAAGATATGGGTCTTAAAGAACCCTGGGAAGCTGGCTGTGTTTCCAGTATCAAGTTTGATTTCCATCCAATTAAATAGGTCTTAAATCCAATCAGACAGTGTTTTGTTGCTACCAATGTGTGTCAGTTATTGCACCTTTAGGCATAGCTTGCCAAGCTCGCAATTTGTGTGTTTCATAGGTGATACAGCAAGATAGGAATGTTTATTGTTCTCCTCCCTTGGCAGCCTGTACTATGTGTTCTGGAATTTAAAGTGTTAGATCGTAATGGAAGACTTTTACAGATCCAGGCCACATTCTTTGAAATCTAGGAGGGTCATGGTTAATTGGATGGATGCAAATACATAACAAAATATTCCATCTTTGCTCTTAGTATTTGGGCTGTTATTTATTTCCTAACTTCACCTTAAGGTAGTTTATTACTTTATAAGTATACCAAATAAGTTTTCAATAATATTACAGACCTTTAAATGATATTACACTAATATAAGCATTTAAGAAAAAGTCAACAGTGAATGCAACAAATGCATTTAGTATTCATTTATTTCCCAATTTAGTCAGTTACTATATATTAATTTTCCATATAGTAAGCAGATAAAGAATACACTAAATAAACCAAATTAATTTCTACCTTATGGAGTTCTCATGGTTATTAAAATCATTGAAAAGATACTTGGGAATTGTATCAACTTATCAACTTATTTAATGGAAACTGATATCTAACAAATGTGTCAATTCCAAGTAAGATTTGTGCTAAAGTAAATGAGGAATTTTAAACTTTAATTTATGCCTTCATTTCTTTCTAATGTGCAATGCAACAAATATACAGTGGATATGTGAAAATAAGATAATACCCAAGAGAAATATGTAAGAAATATGTAAGAAAAAAATCATTTCTTAATCATCTGTTACTATTTCAATGTGCATCTACCTTTCTACACTCTAGTGGTTTAGAGTGCATGGTTTACTCTTGTATGCTTCCCAGTCCTCTCAACCCTTTGTAGAAATAGCTGCATATAAATACTGTATGTAATTTTTCCATCCCTCAAACTCGTAGTAAATTTGAACTTATTTAAGAATGTTACTTAAAACTGTCAGTCACAGTTTCTATAGAAGGAAGCCAATAGAAAATAGTTTTGTATTATAGCTACATTATGGTTATGAAAGATTCCATCCAATTATTTAAATCTGGCATGTATAAGAAAGTTGGACAAGTACTACAGAGATGAATCAGAGTTGAGGAGCACCCTCTGCTCTTCCAGATGAGATAAGTTGGGTTCCCAGCACTCATACCAGGAAGTTTACAACTCCATTGATTCTGGAGTCTGTAAGTAAATTCCTGTGGTCTTGGCAACACACACAGACATACGCACACACAGAAACACACACACACACACACACACACAACACACACACACGCACACACAAATAAATCTTATTAAAGGAAAATAATAGAGAGAAAGCAAAACAAAGGTGAGACCAGAAATCTTTTATACCTGAATGTCACTTGCTCTGACATTCAAAGAATAAAATGCAAATATTAATGTACCAAGCCCATTACTCCATTACTGCTATATAAAACAGAAATAGTTTATACACAGCTTTCTTAAGTGTATTGATATCTATTATATAAACAACTATTAAATTACATTATATATATATTAATTTAATTATGTTATGCATGTATTTATGAAGTATAAGTTAAATATTAAGGCAAAGTTAAGACATTCTTTTTGAAAACCATTCAATATTGAATTTTTGTCATTGGTGAAAAATAAAAAAAATACAAAGTAAGACGTATCATCTGCTATCATTCACTGTGTACTTATTCACTGGCCTTTTTTCTGATTACTCACACTGTTCCAGATGCATGTGGTCCAACACTGTACAAGCACACATTATTTCTGTATTTTCAAATTCATGTCATAGATTAACCAGAGGAGTAAAAACTGTGCTATGCCAGGAGAAAAGTGTAATACTTATCATGATAATAGAACACAGAAGGAGCACAAGGGCTGATGATGGAAGATTAGAGAATTGTTGAGAGATGGTAACTATCAGAGCTATAACATTTTAAGTCCTTTGGGAAACCTCAGGAAGGAAGTATGTTCATGAATGTCTTAGCAATGTATGTGTGTAGGGAGTGGTCTCTGTGTGTGTATGTTAGTGAGTATATATATTAGTGTTTGAGTGTGTAAATGTGTGTAGAGCCTCTGTAAATGGGGAGGTCTGTGGGTTTGTATTTCTGAATGTGTGTGTATACGTCTGAGTGTGTGTAAGGGTCTGTATATGAGTGTGTGATTAGGATGGTCCATGTATTTATGTGTGTGTGAGTGTGTGTGCCAGTGTGTGTGAGTGAGGGGTCTGTATATGTGTGTTCATGAATGTATAGATAGTGTGTGTGTGTGTGTGCAATATGATCTCCAGTATCTGATTTTCAAAGTGCATCCTGTGTTATTGCAATTTCAAACAATTGCCAAAAATTGGACATTTAAATTTAAAAGTTGCTTTGGACAACCAAGAAACCAAATAAAAATATATAATAGATCATTTGTTATGTCATATACACAATTCTATTTAACATACATGCACACTTGTAGTTGTTTTTAAATATGTACACATATATACACATTTAACTTATGCTCAGGCCTGTGTCCCTGATTATACTCAATTCCTTATAGCTAACATCATTCATATTAAGAACCACTATGCACTACCCTGTCTCTCCATCCATTTATATTTTCACACATACAGATGCCTTTTCATATAAATGTGCATATTCATCCACTTTCAGTCTGTGTACTGAAAATATTTAAGGGACAAATTGCATATATGCTGACCATAACCATATATTGACTTTATTTCTGTGATTTCCTAAATCACTGCCATCTAACAAATATTAGTATAACATTTAAATTATGTTAGGGATAGTCACTCACCCTTCATTTTGTTGTTGTTGCTTTGGTTTTTCAAGATAGGGCTTTTCTGATGCAATGGAAGCTGTCCTGGAACTTGCTCTATATACCAGGCTGGTCTTCAACTAACAAAGAGCTGCCTGTCTCTGCCTCCCAAGTGCTGGGATTTAATGTGTGCTCTCCACTGCCTGGCCCTGGCTGTTATATTTAAGATAAAATATATGTGTGGAATTTTTGATTACTGTTTAGTGAGGATTTATTCTGTGACATGCCTCATTAGGTGGTTTAGTTGTGTGCAAACTGATATAATACACAGAATAGCTATGACCACACTGTGTAATATAGTCTTATGCAATCCATATCAACTTCTTTTTCTTCATCTTCAGAGAATGTGAAAAATATCTCAGTCCACAATAAATACAGATTATAGCTAAAATTCTATATATCTTATAGACTCAATAAATATAATAAAGGGCAATACCATTTGCAAACATGACTATGTAGCAAATAACACACATTACAATAAGAGGATCAAGGATAGGGAATTTATACATTTTGGAAACATTACATATGAATGGGTACTAAATTTCATTAAGTGCCTTTCACAAAAATATATGTATGGTCAATAAGAATCCATATTCGATAAAAGGATAAATTAAATTTTTTTTGCCTACATTTGAGGAAGACATAAGACCCTAGGTAGTTACATGGTTCTCAGGGTGTGTAGCTAATTGTATATAGCTTAAATACTAATAATATTTAACAACTTTCATATATAGCTTAAATACTAATAATATTTAACAACTTTCATAGAGAACATAAATGTTTCCAGAATAAATGATAATGTAATAACAGTTATATCATAATAAGGCACCTGTTACACAAAGTAAGTTGTAATTTCTTTATTAACCATATTGTTATCTATTTGTGTTATTTTACAGCTCCTTCACCAGTCACCAATGTGAAAAGAGGAAAGATTGGAAAGAACAGTATCTCTTTATCTTGGCAAGAGCCAGATCGGCCCAACGGAATTATCCTGGAATATGAAATCAAGTACTTTGAAAAGGTAGGACTAAGAAAATAAAACTCTCTTTCTCTTATTCCTTTTTTTCTTTCCACTTTAAAAACTTCAGTTCTAGATTTGGTTAGAGGAGGTTGTACTCTCATGTGTAAATCAATAAAAGTCTATTTTTCAGCTGTGCTTGTGGAGCCAGGTTCCTTCACTGAGCCTTCTTTTACATTCTGTGGTGGCTGCATACAGATAAGGATATATGGTCAGCTTTACTGATTTCTCATTAGAAGATTAATTTGTAGACTAGGAAAAACATGTGTTGGTTAAAAAACACCTTGTGCTTCAGTCATGAAGAACTGATTTTGTATTCCCAGAATCCATATAAATATCAAATGGGTGTGATGGCCATCCTGCAATTTCTGTTTCAGAGACAGAAAGGAGGTCTCCAGAAAAAGAAAAAAAAAACTGGCATGTGACACTAATAATTTTGTTGGGCTCTGTGTTGACTGAGGGACAACCACCTTAAAAAGATGGATGGAATATCAGGATGTTTCTCCACATCAAACTCTGGTCTATGGTCATGGATGTGCATATACAAACACACCTGTGCAATTCATACAGTGTGTATACATGCTCAGCATGTGTGCATGCACACAATGAAAATGTAAATAAAAGACAAATCATAAAGATTTCGAAGAGTACATTGAAAATTCAGCCTGTTGATTTTCAATTGTGAGTGCAATACTACAAAAGAAAAACTATGTGTACTCATGACTGGCAATTATAACAATAAAATTCTGTGAAAGTAATGGAAACCACACAGACACATGCACAAACACACACATCCGTAATAAGTGTATAAATATCTGTATTTGAAATTTGAGGCAAAAATAATGGAAATACATTCTTTACATTCTCTGTTTCCATGAATTGTTAGGTTTCCCTGAATAACTTATGTCTTAAGTTTGTACCTGTAAATTATATATATATATATATATATATATATGTATGTATACATATATATATATATGACTAATTTTTTTTTATCTAAAAGAGGTAAATGTCTCTTTCTTTTTTGACTCTATAAACAACTAAGCTATTAGGAATAGAATCAAATTTTTGGACTCAGAGTGAGTTTATAATTTCTATTGTTATGCTGACATACATGGATGAAATGCTGGAGTCATCGTCTATCATTCTATCTGCCCATCTTTGAAAATGTGATTTAGTGTAGTTTTGACCTTCATAGCATATCTTTAAAATAATCTGTGTTCCATGAATACTTTAAGAAATTAGATGGATGCTGACCATTCAGTTCCAATAGGTGGAACTGAGATTTTTGACTCAAATGTGCTGGCTCTCTGCTAGTTGAAACAGAAAAGTACAAGAGCATAGCACATACAAGTGAATCCCAGAGGAGTGCAACAAGTGAGCTACACTCAATAGATGCTCATAAATTCACAGAGGCATCATTTTAGGTCTAAGGAAGAAAAAAGTAGGATGGAAAGGCACAAAACCTTCATGTGTGATTCCTAAGAGCCTTCTCAGCACAGACATTGGAAAAAAGAGGGTGGGTATTTTCATCACCATGTGAAATGATTAGAGTAGATAATAAACATACCTTAAAAATCTAAGATTCCTTATACATATGATATAAAGGAGACCAAGGAAATATGGTCAATGAACATTTTCATAGTTTGTCAGGATTTAAAAATGCCTCCTTTTGGTTATTAACTATGTGCATCTTGGTTAAGGACACCACATTAATGAAGGAATATGAAGTAGTGAGATCTGTCTGTATCTTATGTGTAGGCTCTTAATGCCTGCAGTCATGATCCTTTTGATCTTCTCAATAGATTATCATTCTGTCCATTGGGTCACACTGAACATAAATGGTGATACTGCCCAGTGGTAGTTGTGCATGTGCCTTTTATACAAGCACTTGGGAGGCAGAGTAAGGTGGATCTCTGTGAGTTCAAGGTCAACCTGGTCTGTAGAGTGAGTTCCAGAACAACCAAGGCTGTTACACAGAGAAACTGTGTCTTTAATAACAAAACAAAACAAAAATGTAGTAATACTATTTTTAGGGTTTTTAAAATTTAAATTAGAAACAATGTTATTTTATATATCAATCCCAGTTCCCTCTCCCTCCCATTCTCCTATGCTCCCCCACAAACCCCCATCCCAATATCTTCTGCTCCATAGAAAGAGTGAGGCCTTCCATGGGGAATAATCAAAGTCTGTCACATCATTTGGGGCAGGGCCTAGACCTTTCCACATGTAGCTAGGCTGAGAGAGTATCCGTCTATGTTGAGTGGGCTCCCAATGTCCACTCCTATTCTAAGGATAAATGCTTTTTCACTGCCAGAGGCCCCACAGACTGCCCAGGCCTCCTAATTTCACCCATGTTTAGGGGGCCTGGTTTCTCCTATGCTGGTTTACTAACTGTGAGTTCCCTCTTGTTCATGTCAGCTATTTCGTGGGTTTCTCCAGCCTGATCTTGACCCCTTTGCTCATCACTCCTCCCTTTCTGCGACTGGATTCCAGGAATACACTCAGTGTTTAGGTGTGGGTGTCTGTTTCTGCCTCCATTAGCTACTGGATGAAAGATCTAGGACACTTTTTTCCCTTTTAGCTGGGTTTTGATGTTGTTATATAATTTGTTGGCTTATCATAGATTGTAATCAAATTTATTACATGTCAATTTCATTCATGAGTCATTATAATTTCTTCTTACTATTCTCCTCTCCCACTGTCCTTCCTGGTCCCTTGTTATCCACATCAAAAATGTACTTTAGAATGCATCAAAATGCTCTAGAAAGTACTTTTGAGATGGAATTATTTAGCAGTATGTTTGACAGAATTTCTTGTCAACAAAACTGATATTAATGTGGTGGGATGTGGTGTCCTCACCAATTCTGAAACTGCACTTGACTCCAGATATCTACAATATAAATACATTCTATGTTTAGTAGTTTGTAAATTAAGATTACCTTCGCTATTTGCTTTTGTAACATTTACTACATGGAAACACAAACAAACTTTAGCTATAAACATTTTATATTTCCAATCATTATTGTGATTAAAATGGATTTTAGCATGTTAAAAAGTTTGTACTAGAAACAATTAACACATTTGCACCAAAACTCTATAATTGATGATATGTCATTAACTTAGCTGAAATACAGTTTCTCAGCACTAGCTGATTAGTGCTCCTTGATTAGTAACTATGACCTTGTCTATCAGTTTCCAGTTTACACACATGATTCAGTATGAACAAGGATGTCTGTCTCTTTCATTCTTTAAGCTGCTGCTTCTGTAAGAGCACAGATATTAAATTTGTCTTTGGAAGTGTTAGTTTCTGTTGCTATTTTTGGTAAACACTATCCATGTTCTGAAACGGGGAATACTTTTTTCTTCAAAGGAGAAATTCTTTTTTTCAGTTATCTGCATTTCAACATGATTTTTTCCTTTAATAGTTTGCATAAAATGAAACCTTAATATGTGTTATTATCTTTATAACTGAGAGTAAGGAAAACAATGTGATGCTGGGGAAGTCTTAGCTGGAAAAGTACTTGTGAACATGTCTGATAACCTGCTTCTGATAACCAAAGCCCATGTAAAAATTCCAGATGTGATGTATAGTTCATTCCATTTGTTCTTGTTACCTCACTGGCAATAGGCCTTAAGTGTGTATGGTCTTATTTTTCCTTCTCCTGGAGCATATCTGGTACTTACTGTACTTGTACATAGTTATTTATCAAGCCTAAAACTTTTCTTTAGACTAAAAGGGGAATTGTAGTGAGATATCCACCCTGCCCACTATTGTACTGATCATGCCCAATGGTGCGTGGGGACAGGCATGGGCATGAGCAGTGGAGTCTAGAGTTGGGTCCTCTCTCTTGCTTCTGGGTTGGAGACAGAGAAGATCTGAGGACATCCTTTTGTAAGTGAATTCTCCCCAATAAACCTCAATCAGCCTTTATTGTCCCAGAATCTTATTACCAGCTTTAGTGATGATGCATTCTCATAATTCCACTGCTCTGAAGGTTGACCAGGGTGGACTATTGGGGCTTCCTGGTCAGCAGTCTTGCTTAATTGATTTTGAATTTGAAGTCAGTGAGAGATTGCCTACATGGAGGTGGATGGCATTTCTGAGGAAGCCACTAAATGATTGCCCTCTGGTCAACAAAATCATGTGTACAAGTGCAGATGTTAACCTGTGTATACATTTACATACCTTGGCATGCACAGGTGCACACACACACACACACACACACACACACACACACACACTTTAAAAAGAAAATGACTTAATTTTGGAAATATAGTTTCTAAACAGTAAGGGTAAAATACCCTAACAATAATTTGTCTTTGTACACATTTTAAAGTAAAAATTCACAAAGTTATAGATTCCATTTTTTTAATTTTATTAATTCCCTGAACATTTATCAATATTCTCATGGATGCATAAAATTATCCTAATACTTCCAGACAGAAAAGGATACTGAGCCTTTATATCATGTTAAGGTGGGGATTTTGGTAGATTTCCAGAGCTCATTTGGAACCTTCAGAGTGACACCATTCTTTTATTGGATGGCTTTTGGCCAGCCACAGGTGGCCCAGCCTTCCAGGACATGCACACTTGCCAGCTGGCACATCTACCCACCATTGCCCTGCTCTAATAGAGGTCATTGGACACTTTTGCTCTGGCCTGGTGATGGGCCTCTTGCCATCTCTTAATTAAAGGCAGAAGAAAAGGGGAAGCTGCCCCTTGACAGGCTGTTTGCCAGCTGGCTCCTTTAGCTGGGCCCTCTCCTCACTACATGTGAGCAGTGTTCATTGAGCAGCTGGGGAATGTAGCTCATTTGCTCAGCTGGGGCACCAAGGCAGTGAACACCCCTGCTCCGATCTACTCTTTGGCAGCTAGTTTGCAGACAAGTTTATACATAGCATTTGTGATAAGATGAAAATGAGCATATTACAGCGATTTAAAAAGTAGAATGGAAATATATTTTGTAGAATCCTGAGATTATTCAATTATATATTAATAGGTTTTAATCACATATATACAGTCTTTGCTAAATTATTTTTAAACCTATAGTATGGAGCTAATTCATCAAGAGAGAAAGCAATCAGACATAGATAGAGAAAAACTAAGATATGTTAACAATGGTGTCTTTTTTGAAATTGATGCTGTGTCACACATTATTTCAAATACCATTTCAGTTTTCTTGTAATTACTTTAAAATTATTTTTTGCAAAATAAAAATTCAATATAATTACAGAATACATTCATTCTACATTGTTATTCTTCATTAGTTTCAACCATACAATTTTTGAGTAATCAAATTTACCTATTTAATGTGCTGTGATTTCCCTCTCAATTGTAATGATAGACTTTGATTCCCATTTTTAATTAAAACAATCTGAGGTCTGGAGTTCTATAATACATGTTAGCCATATGTTTGGAATTCATTGTTAGAATTCCTGTGGTCTGAAAAACAGCCATCCTATTTTATATTAAAAACTTCATTGTTTTATAAGAAAAGAAACTCAACATTACAGCAAATAGATTATAATATAGAAGTAGTTTTACTAGCTTTCTCTTCACTAAGTTAAATCGCTTTTGAAAAGATGAAAATAATATTAGCAAACAGATATTTAATCATTTTCTACTGAAGGTTATTACTACAATCATAGCCATCCTGCAAAGTTTATTACTGAGAACTGATGGTATTTAAGCTCAATATTGAGAAAACAGTGAATAATATAATCAGGTTTATTTAGTAATAAACTAGAGTATTCTCTTAACTCTCAGTAACTACAATATATCATAAAAGTTATTTATAATATTTAGGAACAGCACAAGGAATGACTGTACTACTCTTCTCTTAGCATGAACACAATAGATAGGGGATGATGAAGATGGGATTATGAATAAAGAAACTGGTATTTAAGGTTCATCTTCTGGCATTTAATTACATACTTGAACTCCCTTGTTAAAAGACTAATAAAATTCTCTCAATATTTTATGGATTAATCACATAATCTGTGCATTAATAACTGAAGATCAACAGTAGTCCAGAATGAATGAGAAAACCTAGTTCTATTGGAAATGAAACAGACCATCCTAATTTAGAGATGAATTTGGACATACCTAGGTCCATGATGACTTACTGAAATATATAAATGAGGGCGGATTAGCTGCTTTCGAGGCAGTGAACTTTCAGCTTTATGTTTTAGATAGTATTGGTTGGAAAAGAAAGTGGTTTTCACCTTGATATGTAGCATTAAGAAGAGTTGAGCATCCATTAGATTGTGTGTTAATCCAGGAAGTGTCTTCCTGTTACAAGTTTTATTCTTACCCCATTCTGATGGGGTCTTACACCCAGGCAACAGGTCTTACACACAAGTACAAATGGAAGTAAAATGAATCTACTGCAAGACAACACATAGCCTGTTGTCAGAGTGTCATGGTGAATGCTGCCCTTTATCCTCAGACAGAGAGGCCATGGGGTTGGTAGAGACTTTAGTTATTAGCTCTCTGACAGGAGATTTTCTTTGTTTAGCTTCCAATGTCTTTTCTGCTTCTGTTCTAATCACTAAGTTACTAATCTCTTCTACAGCTGGACCTTTTTTAAAAATGAAAAGAAAAATAATTGCAAGAAAAATAATTTTTTCAATTTTCTTTACTGCTTCCTGTTTAGATTAAATCAGTCAAAATTAAAATTTATTGGTAGTACTTATTTCCTCTCACCTACTTTAAATATAATTAAAAATCATATTTAAGGAAGATTTAAATTTTATGTATAATCAGAATACTCAGGAGATAATTTTCGCATTCTGGAGGGCTAACAAATATGTTAGGGATATTACAAGAAGGCAGTCCTAGAGAAACAAGCACATAGACCTAGCAGAAATGCAGTTTCCCAAGTAATGCTCTCCAGGGATGTTATTAAAGATTTATTTCATGTGTGTGTGGGCATGCGAGAGAGATAGAGACAGGCAGACACACACACACACACACACACAGAGAGAGAGAGAGAGAGAGAGAGAGAGAGAGAGAGAGAGAGAGAGAGAGAGAGAGAGAGGATATATATGTATTAGATGCCATGGGACTTGAGGAGCCTACAGATATAAAAGGCCATTGGACCCCTTGAAACCAGAGCTACAGGTGGTTGTGAGTCATCCTTCGGTAGTTAGGAACTAAACCAGTAAATGCTCTTAACATGTGAACCATTTCTCTAATCCCACCTTATAATATTATTAAATGTTATAAAATTTTTATTGTCCAAGACATGTATGATAAATGAGTAAACACAATGCCACCAAAGTGGTTAAGTTCTGGAAACACTTGCTAAGTAAAATTCTTCACATATAGCAGAGGGATCTTTGGTTTTGTTTTCAGCATATGTGTAATAGAAACTCTTTGATATTTGGTCCAGTTTATGAGTTTTCTGTTTTGCTGTCAGTCATTCATGTGTTGATGACAGATTTTTTTTTTCCCTTTGTTACTCATGCAATCCAAGGACCAAGAGAGCAGCTACACAATTATCAAGTCTAAGGAGACCACTATTACCGCGGAGGGCCTGAAGCCTGCGTCTGTGTATGTCTTCCAAATTCGAGCACGTACAGCAGCAGGCTATGGTGTCTTCAGTCGAAGATTTGAGTTTGAAACCACACCAGTGTGTAAGTCATTTTAATTACTGTCAACCCCTGTCTCTGTAATGGTTACCAGAAGAGAGTCTGTGGATCAATAGGCTCCCGGGGCTCTCTGTCAGCTTTTTTCGCTCTCTCGCTCCAGTTCTGACCCCTTCAGGTAGGAGGCCTCTGCCATTCTATAATGGTAGGTCTGCAGGTTAACACTGCCTGTCTTGCTTTCCCTCTTTGGTCCAGCGGGAGCTGCTCCATCAAGCATCTTAAGAAATGTTTAAACCATGCTTTTAAAGACTTCACTCCCCCAGGTGCAATGCTTTATTGAATTATTGCCATTTACTTTTTACTTGTTTTATTGAGCTATGCTACTTTAGTCTTTCTAAGAAAATTCTACAGGGAGCGTTCTTTAGCATTGAATTTGACAAGAAAATGGTGCTTTTGAGGGTCCAATCTGATTTTCTAAAGTAAAAATTAAATTTGTGTCAGAATCTTGGAATGGAGAATCTGGAAATGGTCTGAAATGCTCTTTCGTGCTTTCTGGTTTAATTTCATAAAACATAACCTTAGGCTTCAACAAATGATTTTAGATCATTTGTTCTAAAGCAAACAGGTTAAAGGAAAATTAGAAGACAAAAAATGCTTTGTTTATGCACAAGGGAGCAGGTGCTATTAGTGCTTTGTTAAGGAAGTAAAACGCATGCTGATTGTGGTGTGTGTGTGTGTGTGTGTGTGTGTGTGTGTGTGTTTGTGTATGTGTGTGTCTGGCTATGTGTTTCTGTTCATGCAAGAGCACATGTGTGCATGAGTATGTGGGTGTGTGTGTGTCTGTCTGTCTCTGTGTATGTGTGCATTTGAACATGCATGTGTGTGTGTGTGCATGTGTGTGTCCATAATTTGCAATGGAAAAGAAAACACACAAAGAGTAACAAAATGAGAGTTACTTATTGGATTATTATTATAGTTATTAGAATAATTATTAAAACACAATTCAGTAAACTCATACAACATGGCCCTTTAGAAACTCATATTGTTTCTGTTTAAAGCCTTTCTAATTGATTTACATAAATTATTTTTATTAAGTGATGAGCAGATCCCCTAGTGCTATCCCACTTGATATTATAAAGAAGAGAAGTCATCGGTAGATAATAGTTTTTCTTTCCTATACAAAGAAAATTGCATAACTTGAGTTTAATTAAAAGTATAGAAATTGGAATCAAATGCTTAACTATCTGATAAACTTTTAAAGAAATTTAATAGTGTGTCTTTATGAAGTCAAAAAAGTACATACAATATGGAAAATGAATTAATTATTAAATCTCATATTTAATCTTAAAATTGATCTGTTATAAAAGATATGTTATGGAACCTGCCTATTGTAATTGTTTTCATTGTTTGTCTATTATATTAGTATTGAACACTGCAGTATATTATATTAGTATTGAACACTGTAGTAGCATACAAACACTAGGAACAAAGTATATAAAAACATATACATAATGCTATATGATCAGTATAGGCTTCAATGATTTGTAGCTACAGAGGTTAAAAATCTCATTTCATATTAAATTATACTATGATTATGATGGTGACATATTTAACCACTGGGTTTTCTTTAGACATTTAATATTTCATGTTTTATTTTTATTAAACATTAGTTCTTAGGTATTACAAATTCATCAATCAGAGTACTGAGAAAATTAACATGCAGGTCATCTTTTCTTTATTCATTATTGGCTCTGATCCATGTCTCTTGTTAGCTATATCTAGAAAACATTTTTATTTGCATCTATGTGTATATATTTACAAGTACTTTTCCATATTGTCTATTATGTGTTATCTTTTGTAGATGGAAGTTCCTCTCCCACCGAGTCCCACAGCTGTTTAGTCCCAAATAAACACACAGAGGCTTAAATTAATTATAAACTCTTTGGCAGATGACACAAGCTTCTTATTGACTAGCTCTTTCTTAATTATTAACCCATTTCTATAAATCTGTGTATTTCTATGTACTCTTGGCTTACCAGAAAATACATGGGCATCACCTCAAGACTCACTCTCAATGTTTCTTTTCCTAAAATGCTCCTAGTCTTTTAGCCCTGCCTATACTTCATGCCTGGCTACATCCTGCCTGTCCATGGGCAGAAAATGTTCTGTTCATCAACCAATAAGAAAAACATATTCACAGCATAGAAAGACATTTCCCCATCATCTTTTGAGCTTCATGTAAATCCTTTTTGGATAAAGTTCCAAAAGAATGTATAAGAAAGCAATGTACATAACTTCTCCAGGGACAGCATTTTACATAAAGAAAGTATAACAATCAGAATATTTGTTTGTTAATGTTGTTGTAAAGTTCTTGGCCATTGGCTATGATTTTAACGGCTAGCTCGGTCTTATTAACTCATAATCACACACACAAACACACACACACACACACACACACACACACACACACACACACACATTTCTACATGGCTTTATCTTACAAAGAGCACCAAGAGTCACACATCTTCTCTTCCCAAGACCACATTACAACTCCTCCTCTCTCATTGCTCTCACAGAATCCTCCTTGTCTCCTCGTCCAGCCTATCTTGTCTCCCTATTGGCCAACAGTGCTTTATTCATTAACCAATAAGAGAAACATATTTTCAGAAGAACATTGCCCATCATCTCTTCTTTTCTGTCTAAATAAAAATAAAGGTGTTAACCTTAACATAGTAAAATTACTGTCTGCCTGCAGTTGCAGTTTGTCAGTCATTTTTCTTTTTGTCCTTCAGAATGTCTGCCAGACATAAAGCAGGGACACTTCAGGATTGTCCATCTTGTTTTGCAAATTCACCAGTCACTTTCCTGTGGGTCTTGCCCATCCAGTTTTAAAGTCCAGGCAAGAACTCCATAACATGTTTCTTCAAAGCCCATCTTCCTCTCTGAAGTATTATGTGTTACCAGGAACAGTTGTGTCTCATTGTTAAGAGAAGCCCTAAACCATTTTTAATGCCATATAGGTCTTTGAAAGGTTTAAAGAATATCTATCCATCTCAAATTCATCTCTGCATATCTAGCAAACCTAACTAACCTAACTATAAGTTTTGACTATTATAGGTGACTACAATCTCAGTTTAATTATATATTACATTTTTAAAGCACTGTATAAACACAACACCTAAACAAGAGGAGAAATATACATATAACAAAATTGACCTTAAATTTGTATCAATAAATAAAAATCCATACCAATGAAAAGCATTCATTTCCACATCATTTCTCCCTGTTTTTTTCTTAAGAAGGAGATTGACTGTGATTATTAACCATTTGTAATCAACCCCACTTAAATTAAAACATTTATTTATAGCAATATTTGGGAATGTGGATGTTGTTCTCTCCAAACTACTTCCTGCTGTTAGGGGGTGCTGCATTGGAGTTCCTAAGAAGACACAGAAATCCTGGCAGTAGTGGTCTGCAAGGCTGCCTTGTCCCAGCTGTTTTGAATGTTGGATCACCTGGGACACTACTTCAGGAGGTCTTGCTTGATCAAACCATATTACTCTAGAAGGAATCCACAGCTTTTCATTTTCTGTGGAAACAAAAAAAAAATCTCTTTTCCAAAGTAACACATCCTTATACTTAAATTTTTAAAGTCAAGGCATTTTTTAAGAATACAAATTGGATTAATTGAGCAGCATTGATAATCAAGTGTGTTTTAGCAGTTGTTCCTTCCTTAGCAATTGAGCTATTCAAAGACTATGTGTATTTCCCATCTCCACATGGCTTTTTTTTTATTACTCTATTTCTTTTACTTCTTTTTTTTTTTCTTTCGTTTTTTGAGACACTGATTCCCTGTATAACGTTGGATGCCCTGGAATTGACTCTGTACACCAGGCTGGCCTTAAAATCACAGAAATCTGCTTGCTCTGCCTCCTGAGTGCTGGCATTAAAGGCTTGTGCCACTACCCAGATACTCTAATTTTTTTTTTTTTTTGCTTTTTTCTTTTTTCTTTCGTTCTTTCTTTTTTCTTTTTCTTTACTTTTTTTCTTTTTCTTTTTTTTTTTCATTTTCCTGTTTCCTTTTTTCCTCCCAAGCCTATGTATATTTTTAAACACACTGTAAAACCTTTAGAGGTTTTTCTTCATGTGAATGTCTTTACTGTATCTCTCTACGTTTTCTCTAGCCACAAGTCTTTTATTTGCCAAACAGCTTTGCTAAAATTAAAGCCACTGCTGTTTTAGCTGTTGGCTTTCTGAGATGGCAGGGTTACGTTTACCACTGGCAGCTGCTTACAGCCTTGGTCTATGCTGCCATCCAACAGCATGGTGCCTGCTTGGAGATGTGGTCACTGCCACTGCCAGCTGTTGTACACACCATTCAATTGTTAGCATGGTCTCCTAAAAGAGCCTTGCAGTTTTTCTGATTATGCTGAGTCAGGAAGATTCCCTTAAAGGAGCTGCACAAGTATCTGCTTGTCTCTAGCAAAACAGAACCCACCCAAGGAAACGCTGCTACCAAGAACCATCATTGACTTTGCTGTTTTTTTTTTTTTTTTTTTTTTTTTTCTAAAATTCCTTTTAGGCTTTTGTCATTCTATGGGGAAATTCTTGCCACATCTTTGTGGTCGCAATATATATATATATATATATATATATATATATATATATATATATATATATAGTCTTACCTTACCAAGAATGCTAGACTCACATGTCCTTTCCTCCTGAGATCACATCGTAATTGTAACAGCCAGAATATTAACAATGATAAATTCAAAAAAATATTAATTTTATGTTTTTGAACTTCTTTATAAGGAGTTATTTATAATTTGTTCACTTCTTTGGGTTCATATATTTTCCAAGCTGATTCCCTAATGTAACATCATGAAGATCCCATTTGTTTCTCTTTCTGACTGTAATCACAGCCTTCAGCAGCAAATCTTCTCACATTATGATAATTGCAATCCCATTATTATTTTGTGTTAGTTACTTCTGTTGCTTTGATAAGATACCATGAAATTTATAGAACTCCAGAGAATAAAAGTCCA